GAATCATCTGTTTCCACCTAACTCTATCCTCAGCATCCTCTACTCTCACCCCAGTTAACTTCATGTCCTCTTTTAGCACATCCATATATCTCCTCTTTGGCCTTCCTCTTGACCTCTTGGCTGGCAGCTCCATCTCCAACATCCTTCTACCAATATAACCACTATCCCTCCTCTGCACATGATGTTGATGTCCATTAATTAGGTCACCTCCACTATATGTGTGTGTGTGGTTTTGTTCTACTAACTCTCTGTTAAACTCAGCAGTGGGTTGATCAGAGCCTCCAGGGTGCGTGGGGTCCCATGGCAGAGTGGAGCTGGGAAGCCGGGAATCAAACAGGCAAACATGCAGAGCTGCTCACGCTCTGCATTACTCTGCAATGCCTGCATCCACAGGAGGAACAGGCGTACACCTTCACGACGAATCTACAGTGTAAATGAGTCGGAGAAGAGAGAAGCATTATGAAACTAGAATTACTGCCTCGCAGTTGTATGTCCCTGCCAACCAGTCAAGGTGCAGTTGACATGCATGTCTGTGTGTATGTATAATGTATGTAGTGAAGACAAAAGAATTTTAATAAAAGATATTAAGTGTATTTTTGGCAAAATGGAAATCACTATGAAGACGTATAATTCTAGTGAAAAATTTCCAATAAAAAAAAACATCAAATCAAATTTATTTATATAGCACTTTAAAAACTATCCAGTTGACCAAAGTACTTTACTTAGCAGAATAAAATCACAATAAATTACTAAAATAGAATAAATAAGATCAGTGCAAAAAATAAAACGGCACAATAACACAGACACACAGATGACATACATTAAATAAATTAAAATTAAGTTAAAAAGACTGCATCAGGCCCTACTGTGTATTAAAAGCCAAGGCAAATAAATATGTTTTAAGCAATGATTTAAAAGTAATGAGGTCAGTAACTGATCTAACATTAAAAGGTTAACTATTCCACAATTTAGGGGCTACAACAGTAAAAGCACGATCACCCCAGCATTTATATCTGGCCCTAGGAACCTCTAAAAGAAACTGGCTTGAAGATCTGAGGGACCTTGTAGGTTTGTGCCAATGCACTAATTCGGTGAAGTAAGATGGTGCCAAACCTTTAAGAGCCTTAAAAACGAAAATCAACAGCTTAAAATCGATTCTAAAACGGACTGCAAGCCAGTGGAGAGAAGCCGGTACCGGGGTTATATGCTAGAATTTCCTAGTGCTTGTCAAAAGATGAGCAGCAGCATTTGGAGACAAGTGAGGGAGGACTGATTAACACCTAGGTATAGAGCATTGCAATAATCAAGTCTAGAAGTGATAAAAGCATGGATTGCAATCTCAAAATCATTAAAAGAAACGAACGACTTGACGACTTGACCTTGCTTAACAGCCTCAGGTGAAGGAAGCTAGATTTCACAAGTGAGTTGATTTGCTTGTCAAACATGCTGTTTTCACTTTTTTACTTTTTTAAGAGAAGAGTACAGAGGACTGATTAGGAACTTTGTCACATCGACCTTGAGTCCATGTGGATGTTTGTGCCAAATTTGAAGAAATTTTCCAAAGAGGTTACTGGGATGGATGGAGGCATGGAGAACACCACAAAAACTAAATGCACCTAGCCATGGCTGTCGCCAGCACAAGAACATTAAAAAAAAGATCATTCAAATTAGTGCACATTACTTGCAGCATTTAGCTTTTGTCAAGATTAAGACTAAATTAAGAAGAAAAGGCTGTACACATCTTCTTAAGGGACAGCTATGCTTTGCGCCTACCCTCGTGCATACATGGACACGGATGAGGTACGCGCACGTATTCTTATTAATACTTCAAACTGGGGGTCTGCCTTCTGTCCGCGTATGCCAACGGTTTCCAGGCACTGCGGTACATGCGCACTTGGGCTTTTGCTGTGTGGATCACCCACGCAGACATAAAATTTTGGCCTGCCCGTGGCTGTCCGCACAGAGTCCACGGGACCCTCATGTACCTGGGAAGGTGATAAAAATGACAGCACTTGACCTTAGTGGATGTGCAGACATTTAAAGCATGAGGATAGCCTCTTAGGTGGCAGGAGGATAAGGAGGCTAAGGCTAACAAGTAACATGGTGTGAGAACAGTACCTTCAAAGAGTTCCCAGTGTGTAACAGCTTCTTGAGGATCAGCCCTGTGGCAGAAAAAACATGTCAGCCTGGTCATTTAAAACTGTGGTGCACAGTCAGGATTATAAGTTAGCCAGCTCTGCTCACATTAGTAGCTGATTTTACATTAATATATTATTTGTGACAACTTGTGCAACTTGTCAATAAATTGTCAAGTTGCAGTAAGGACATATTAATGGAAACAGAAATGCAGTCATGGCCCGGGAGAAGAAACTGCCTTCTCTGCAGTCCTGACTGTTTGCTGGAGTCCGTTCCTGTCCTGTTTGGTTGCTGAGTCAAACCAGACAGTGATGGATGAGCAGAGAACAGACTTGATGTTTCCTCTGTAGAACTGTATCAGCAGCTCCTGGGGCAGGTTGAACTTCCTGAGCTGGTGCAGGAAATTCATCCTCTGCTGTGCCTTCTTGGTGATGGTCCTGATGTTGGACGTCCACTTCAGGTCCTGGGAGATAGTGGAGCCCAGGAACTTGCAGGACTTTACTGCTGATACAGTGCTGCTGACTATGGTGGAGGGGTTCTTCCTAAAGTCCACTGTCATCTCCACTATTCTGAGCATGTCCAGTTCCAGGACCACACCACAGGACCAGCTGCTCAAACTTCTGTCACCATCTCAAATGAGACCCATAACCATTGTGTCATCTGCAAACTTTAGGAGTTTAACAGAGGGGTCCTCTGAGGTGCAATTGTTTTTGTGGAGGGAAAATAGCACCAGGGAGAGCACACATCCCTGGGGGGCGCCTGTGCTGATAGTCTGGGTGCTGGATGTGGTTTTCCCCAGCCTCACCTGCTGCTTCCCATCTGTCAGAAAGCTGGTGATCCACTGACAGGTGGGGGTAGGCACAGTGAGCTGGGTCAGTTCAGAGTGGAGGATGCTCAGGATGATGGTGTTGAACACCAAGCTGAAGTCCACAAAGAGGACCTGTGCATTGGTCCCTGGGGAGTCGAGGTATTTCAGGATGTAATGCAGTGCCATGTTGACTGCATTATCCACTGATAATGGGTCCAGGAGGGGGTCTACAATGTCCATGAGAATCTGTCCACACTGGCAAAAACAGGTTAAACCTGATTCACCACATAACGTTTGTGGGACAATCTGACCTTCTGCACACATGTCATCAACAGTTTCAAGAAAGGGGGCTGAGTGTTGTTTTGTGTGAGTTACCGATGCTATGGAACTGCCATCGGCTCTGGATTCTCTCTGGCAGGAGCTGGAGGATTTTCTGAAGGAAAAAAGATTCAAAGATTAAGTTTTCACTGGTTGGTTGTTCACTGGATTCACATAACTTAAAGATAAAAAACCTATACAAATAAATTTGAGACTTAAGTAATTAATAATTCTGTAAAGTCAGTTGTCCAGTCTTCATTTCAACATGACAGAAAATCTATATCAAGCACATTCTTTCATCCAAACACACACTGGTTTTGTCCAGGCCTGTTCTGAATTTTAAAAGGAGTGCTTGGAGTGCAGGGGTCAAATGGCGGTCAAATGGCACAAACATACTGGCTAGTCATTTTAAGTGCCATCACTCAGTTGTGGGTGTTGCTAAATGCCAGTGCTCTTAGTCCGAGTCCAGCATTCAGTTAAAGGGTGCATAATAGAACAAGTAAGACTTCCATCCTGTATGATGTGCAGCAAATATCACACATGATCAGTGAGATGGAGAAGTTTAAGGCGCATTCTAATCTCAAAGGAAAAACTAATATGACACAGCTGTTGTTTATAGTACAGAGCAGAGTAACACTACTGCAGCCCACTACCATTACACACATTATCTAACAGACTTCTGTTTTATGTACATGTATTCATTCATTACCTCAAAGATGAAGAGGATGGAATCCAACTCCTCCCTCTGGGACTTGTGACCTAAAACATTGAGACTACTTTGAAGAAAGCACAACAACCTAGCTCCATTTATTGCATTATGTTATACCAACATTATACCAAAGTTTTGTTCTTGACTCAGATCATCAGTAAAACTCACCTTTTTGCTTGAGGCTGACCTCAATGGTGACAAAGTTCTCAAAAAAGACATAGTAGATGTGGGAGTAGTTCAGATCAAAGAACTGCTTCAGCTCTGAGGGCTCAGCATTTTCTGGAAAATGAGAGTAGAAACAAAGCCGAGCATGAATCAACACACACAGACTCGGGAGAGGACACCAAGGTCAACTCAACAATGCCCACAACCTTGACTTAGTCTCTTCTGGACACTTCAATTTCCTCAGTCTGTCTCCATTTTAATGCCTTAAATCATATAAATATGGTCATCTCAATCTCCAACACTGCCTCCACTATATATACAGAACAACAAATGTGCTTCTCAGCTTGGACCCCATGGTTCTCCCTTCATTCCCAGACTTGTCAGAAAAACTGAAAAATGAAATAAAATACATAAACTAAAATGGAGAAAGGGACACAATGAATATCTATGTAATGGGTTTGTGAAATGGACAATTAAACAAATAACAGGCTGCTCTATATCCATTATATAGTGTAAGGCTAAGAAGTTTAAAAAGGGCACTCTGACAGCCAAATAGTTACCGCATGGTGCACAATGTACACATGCACAGTGCATGTACGACATCAGTGCTTTGAATCCAGCCGCTAACATTTGTCACTGGTCTCCCTCTCTCCATCTTTGTCTCCCTGGTTTCCTGTCTGCCTCTCCATGACCCACTGACTAATAAATGCAAAAATGTGCCTGAATAATAACTTATAAAAATAACATTTCAATACTGTACATCCATAAGAATTAGAGAAGGCCCTGTTATAGCCACATATTTCAGACTTTTCATCACAGGAAGTACATTTAAGTAATGTGACGTCAGCCCAACATCTGAGTTCTCTAAATAAAGGCATGGTGTCAAGCCACAGAAAAGACTTGCAGCCCAGTGTGGGCCCCAGATAATCAGTCTTCTTATGGCTGGGAAGTTTACCTTCATGTGTTCTGGACTGACTCTCTGTCTGAACACCACTGACACATTGACACACACAATGAGATAAAACACACCCATACTGACAATACAACCATCAATATAGTTCAGGGTCAACACTGGAAAAAAACATACACATGCATGTAGGACATTAGTTTATGCACGGATACCCACAAGCATGTGCACAGCTACACACACTCTCAGAAGAGTGTCTCATGATATTCTCTGGGTTTGTTTATATGTCTGAAACACACACACATACACTGAGGCCATCTATGTCATAGTGGTTGCCCTTGTAAGGTCTTTGTGGTCCAGCTGACTTCTTTTCCATCTTTTCCTCTGGAGACTGACATTTTTAACAGTTCTCACCAAATGACTGCCATCTGCTAGAACTTTTTGCAAAACCAACAGGAAATTAGGGATGGGCGTGTCGATACTTTGATACCCGCTGGTCGATATGTTGGAGTCGATACTTTAAAGTGTTGCGATACCACTGTGCTAATACAAAATGTGCCATTTGTTTTCACTTCTGAGAGTTTTAGGCATTAAATTTATGTGTGAAAACCAGCCCGAGCATATTTTAGATGGTCTTCCATGACACATGATTATGGCAGCCAACCAGATGTCAGAGCCTCAGTTAAGCACTGCCTCCGGTAGTCTTCTAAACAACCCACTTTACTCAGGACAAGCTGTATGAGGCTTCCATAATCTTCTGGCTTCTGGTTTTAACCAGAATAAAGCAGTGCTCTGAATTAAACAATCATTCCAAAACAAGGAATTATCACAGTTCAAACATACTGGAAAGGAACTTCTGACCTTGTAATGTTATATAGGGCCAGAAAAAAGTTAGCTGGTTGGGTTTTTGGTCTGGCATCAGAAGGCCAAACAGAGCTTGGGAGCAGCATAACCCAATCACATCAGAGGTATTACAGCACTGTAACAGCCTCTTGTTGAAACATTCCTTTACATCAGGTATTAACTATTTTATTACAAAACATTTAAAAATTAGCCAGCACTCTAGTACTCAATCCCTATTTCCTACAATGGCAATGGTGAACATTTTTCAGAGGAAGGTCATATTTTGGGTCAGTTACAATCTGTTTTCATAAGGGTAAGCAGCATCAGCAACACAGACAAGTGTATTCTTTAGCCTGCTTGCTCTCTAAAGTGGCATTGCTCCAGTTATTGTTTCTTATCAGTGCTGCAATTATTACTGCCAATATGCATTTTTTTCCTCAAGTGGTGGTCTGGCTCCATGATTGTTAAAACTGTATGGTTAGCTATTGTTCAGCTGTTTGAGCTTTCTTTCTCAAACAATGCTACTGCAGATTTGTCTGTGTGTGCATGTCTCTGTGATCATTATCAAGCTCTTGTGTTCCCCATAAAGCAAAGCAAGAGAGCACACGCCTTCCTCGCTGCCTCTAGTATACACACAAAGAGAACTCAGTAACAGGAAGTTGAGCTACTGTACTGGACATAGAGAGGAAATAGTACGGGTTGTTTTCCTGTCCATTCAGTGTGTGCGGGTGTGAGTGCCTGTAGGTGAGTATATGTGTAAGAGCAAGTATGTATCGGTGAAAAATATACACACTAGCTCAGGCACTCACACATCTATTACTTATTCATACCCTGTCATCCTTGTCTATTCTCCCACACACTCAAAACATTGTAATCAGTGCTATGTTGTAACACATCTTTAAAAGCATTTCTCACACCCCAGGTCTTTGTCCAGCACTCAGGAACATCTCTGAAGAAATCACAACAGCCTAAGCCAACAGCGTCACTGCCTCAGTTTTATGCTGTACATATGTTCTTACACGATAGTAAAATATATCCAATTCTCCTCTTTGCAGAAATCTCAAGTCAAACTCCATTCATAAATCTGACAATGTGCCACTTACAGTATAAAGAACATGTTTAAATCATCTTCTAATTTGGCAGATTTACCTTCAAACTTATTTCACCTTTAGTCTATATACTAAAGGTTCACTGTTACCCTTTTTGCCATTCTGAGGGAAAAAGGACAAACTTTAAAGATTAACAAGAGGTGATTAAAATTTGACAGAATGTTTTAGAGTAGTGCGATGCCAAATTCACGGGTGGATGGAAAAAATAATCTGTCAAGGTCTTATAATTTCTTAAAATTAAGGTGGTGTGTCTCTTTACATGTAAAGCAATTTTAAACTTTGCGATTTTCGAGATGAGTTTGGTGTGGCATTCCCTGTATACACTGACTGGCATGTAGAAGCTAATATGTTCGCTACTTAATAATGATTTAACTTACCTATGACGATTCTAAGATGTTTGAGCCTCGTCAACACGTCTTTCTTTGGGTCCAACACTTTCTGTGTTGATTTTTTAACGTCGCCATGAGGCTTTTTGGAAAACATTCCTGGGGCAGGAGACACACGAATGCGATGGTAGACAGCAAGGAGGAGCTAGCCGTGTAGCCACCTTAAGAGCCTAATCTTCAAACTATAACGAAAAGCCGTTGGTCCTGGATCATCTATTAATGCAGCGCTACGAATTAACAGCACGGGCTATATCAACGGGTAAACTCTGTAATAGAGGACGCATTCTGTTTAAAGTAAGACAAATATATAAAACGTAGCAGGGTAATGCATCCATCCATTGCACCTCCCTTCCACAGTAGTTCGCAGCCTGAAGGCTAAACTAGCTGATGAGCTAACTCCGCTGTTCACTTAGAAAACATCATGGCGGAAGGGGGGGAACACAAAATAATTGATACCAGAAAAATTCAACACCATCATAGTTCGACATTAAAGAAGCCACGGTTATATAGTTTAAATTAAATGTGCAAAGATCTAGTATATCCCACTACAATATACCTCTACCACAAACGGGGTTTCAAATTTACTAGTGTTAGTTTTAGACGTTTTTAAAGTTTTGCACATGCTTTACCCCTCAATCCCCAGTGTTGATTTCTGGGTAATGTAGTTTACAGCCGGCTGTTAGCCCTTTACTGATGTGAATATTAGTGATACAAAAAACTACAGTTCCCTACTCATATATGAACGTTCTACGGAGATTTGTTTTTAGCTTAGCTGGGGCATGCGAGTAGAAAAGTAAACTTCGAAAAAATAAGTTTAAGTTTTTTTGCTTTTTTAAAATCTGCTTTTCTTTACACTGCTTCCCCATCTTGTGAGTTACAAAGCGTCTTTGTGAGTAGTTTTATACGAAGTCGTGCTAATAATGCTTGCTACGACACTATGATGGCTTGCTATTATGCTAAAGTAGTGCTAATTTCATGTGGTTTGATGTGCATTTGTTTTGCAGTTAAAAGATTGAAAGGGCAAATAGCTGGGCAGCTCAGACATTTATAATAGTTTTGTATAACTAATCTTTAGTACTAACATAAAGATTTTTATCATCAGGGGTTCATTGTTTTTATGGTGCATTAACGTACCCATTTTTCTCACATTTCAAGAATTTCCTAAATGTATTCACCATGAAAATATAGATAAATTAATTATGAATTGAATTTAGATAGCTACCCCACATCACTACCTGCATGTGTTAAACACAAATGGGGACATATATATACATACATAGTCAAACGGAAGAAAAAACAGAAATATAGAAAATTTTCTGAGTCACATTGGCTGGTGAAAAGATGTTGGAATGATGGTTGTACATGTTTTTACACTACAGTCAACACTGCTTTCAGCAATTAAAATACCTTATCAACTGAAAAAAGTGGTGTGCTTACTAACAAGTCTTTCTTGTCATGCCCATTTGACAAAATTGCATCTGTGGAACAATAGTTGCCCGGAAAACAAACTTCCTTTCATGCTCAGACAATTTTTGATCATGCTCATAATACCAACTTTAAAGTGACTGTTATGCAGAGTCACTTCTGAACAATACACAATCATGCTGTTATAATTACACACCAAGCTGATGAGAAAAGATCAACAATGAGAAGTTTAGAAATTATGGACTCAAGCAGAACTACTTATGCTTCCCAGTAGATGTATGGGTATGCTTTGAAATCTTCTAAGTTTTTATTTTCTATATGTCTACAACTAAACAAATCAAGTAATATGGAATAAGGTAATATGTTCAATGTCTAGAGCTGTATCTGTAGTAAATAAAACTTAAGAAGAGCCTGATGTTGTCATTTTACTTAACACTAGTGAGAAGTTGACTTGCTGCCATGCCACAGCACCATGACCGGGAGAAGAAGGACAGCACAGCAGAGGAGATGGAGGTGGAAGAGCAAGAGCAGGAGCAGGAACAAGAGGCATCCAGCTCAGAAGAGGAGGATTTAGACACCTCCTCTATCTCCGAAGATGGAGACAGCTCAGGTGAGAAACTGTAGAAAAGGAGCACGACATTCCTTCTGAAATTATAGTGATGGATGACTTAAAAAAGAATTATGAATACATGATTAAAAAGCTTTGCTGTCAGAGGGTTGACTGGAATTGCAATAGGTTCAGTAATTTGTGCACCGTCTACCCTTGTGACACTGTGATGTCTGGTTGTAAGCAGATATTTTGTATCTTGTATGTATCTTTGTATGTCATCTGTATCTGTACACAGTATGTGTAAATGGAAACTATATATGTGCCAGAAATATTGTGTGTGTGTGTTTGTGTATGTACACATACCTATGCCATGTTTTGCTTCCAGATCAGCTCCTCCTGAGCTGTTTCCTTCATCCATCACAACACCATTTCATAATATCTAACCTAGATATCTGTGTGTGTGTGTGTGTGTGTGTGTGGGGGGCCTTCTGCTGTTTCAGAAATGGATGAGGAGGACTGTGAGCGGAGGAGGATGGAGTGTGTGGATGAAATGTCCAACCTGGAAAAACAATTTGCTGATCTCAAAGACCAGTAAGACTGACAGTGATTTTTTTTTTTCATGAAAAAGTCATAAATAACAGGGAGTTATATCCATAGTTATACCTGTGTTTGTGTGCAGGCTGTATCGTGAGCGTCTCAGTCAGGTGAACAGCAAGATGGTAGAGGTGGAGGCTAGCCGGGCAGCAGAGTATCTGGAGCCTCTGGCAGTACTGCTGGAGAACATGCAGGTCCGCACAAAAGTGGCAGGTAAGTTCACCACATGCACACAGACATATGAAGTCTCTTGTAGTGATGGCGAAAGTAGGATTTCCTGAAGCATTGAAGTCTCATTTAACACAGTGCTCACTAGTAACACCTACTGGTACAAATAAGAAAGAGCAGCCAAATCATAAACATGCTGTTACCATGGAACAAATATTACTGACATGTTCCAGCAGTGCTACTGCTAGAGACCTGACAGTAAATGACAGTAAATGTGACTTTTTTTTCAAGTGAACATTTTGATTTGGCACATTGCACCATCTGAAGAAAAAGTAATTCAAAATTAATTTCAGAAAGCTGTCAAATGTAAAATCACTTTGATTGCTTTAGAGAAACCAAGAGATTTGAACCTTTGGTCAAAATGTTATTCTGTTGAAACTGAGGCCTCATTTGTCATCAATCACGCAATTCTGAGAAACAACGCAAGCCTCAGTTCTGAACCTCAGGAGAAACTGTCGTACATATTTGACACATGATGTTAGATTTAGTGTTACTTATTTATCTACTTTATATTTCATTTGTATTTTGTGGCATTAATGTGGACGGCAAAGTAAGAATTTCATTGTACAGGGAAACACGTTTCCTAACTGTGCATATGACAAATAAACACTTTGACCTTGACTTTGACCTTTGACCACATGTATCCGAGCCATGATGTCTTACGTAATATTGCTCTCTTCTCTCTCATTTTGTCTCTACCTCTCTGTCTCTGTCTCTGTCAGGCATCTACAGAGAGTTGTGTCTGGAGACTGTGAAGAACAAGTATCAGTGTGAGACCCAGGCAGCATGCCAGCACTGGGAGGTTGGACACACACATACACATATGCAGTATATCCACACATTTTTTATAACCTTCTGCTTAATCACAAAGTATTGCCATGGTGTTTCTGGAGTCCTCATTGAAAAATTTCAATTAAATTGTCATTTATTAGAGTGTTAGTTGGTCTAAACAGTTACCTATGGTATATGCATGTATGTATTTGGATGCATGTTTGTGTGTCTGTTAAATGATATTATGGTTGTGTTTGTGTGAGTAGAGTGAGAAGCTGCTGCTGTTTGATACAGTACAGAGTGAACTGGAGGAGAAAATTCAAAGGCTGGAGGAGGACAGACACAGCTTAGATATTACTTCAGGTAACACACACAGCTCATGGTCTTTGTTCATGCATGTGCAACTAAATGCAACACATTTCAGTAACAGTAATAAGAAGGTACTATCCATCAGCACATATTACACTTATTTTATACACCAGCCGCTTCAATCTGTTTACCTGTGTGTGTCTGTCAGAGCTGTGGAATGATGAGTTCTCAGGAAGAAAGAAGAGGAGAGATGCCTTAAGTCCAGACAAGAAGAGGAGAAGACCGTCAGTGGTGTCTGATATCCTTCTACTGTGAATACATCTATTATTGTCTGTATTGATACTACTAGTAAATATTTGTAGTGATTCTGAAACATCCCAAATACTGGTATGGAGAATGTGTAGTCACAGTCAGCCACTGCCCTTAACTCTGCTTACGACCTTATATTGTCTATATGCTGCCTGACTTGGACATCCTGGAGGACTGGACAGCCATCAGAAAGGTGTGTGCAAGTGTGGCCAGTGATATGCACAGCCAGGGGAACACCTGTGTGCACAGGCATCTTTTTAACAACCAGGTTATGTGCCTGCTGTTTTCCAGGCCATGGCTACGCTGGGTCCCCACAGAGCGAAGGTCGATTCTGACAGCACCGTGTTCCCGTTCAGACCTGACAGAAACAGACCCATTCTCAACTGCTGAGGAATGTACACACATACCTAAATACACACATCAGCACGCTCGCTCAAAGAGGACTCATGGGTCTGAATCACCCTTATAGGACAAACAAGGATGGAAGCTTTTTTTTTTACTGGCAAATGGGCTTCAGAATTGATGTTTTGTTTTTTTGTCTATTGCACTGATTGTTTCTGTTCATTTAGTGGAGAGCCAACAGGAAGTTTCCCTATTAACAGATCATTCAACCTAGACAGGTATTTAAGGCTAATGTCTGCTGAAACTCATTCCAGTATTCATTCCATTGCTTGTCACTGTGAGAAGTTATTTTAGAAATGTTTGTTTTCAGTGGTAAAAACCACAAGTGCAACCTTTATTTATCACTGAACACAGAAACAAATGAAGTGAGGGTTTTATTGGCTAATGCCTTGAAACTGTTTTGTGGAAAAGAAAGACCATGTGGTTGACTAAAAACTGGAATTTTTTCAGTTTCATTACAACATCTTTGAACTGGAAGACTAATATTTATAGTGGCACACAAAACTCACTGACTCCTGGTGTGGAATTAAAACTGTTGAAACATGATGCACATTGCATTTAAATCCTGTTTACGTGTTACATGCGTGCTACATCATTTCAGGTGTTTTTCACCTCCCAGAGCCTAGTATTTGGTGAGGGTGCCAGTGCCTTTACACACTAAGGTAGTCAGTCTTCTCTAAACTGATGTGTTCCTCAAGCATCATGTCTGGCTTTGACTGTGGCAGTGCCATTAGGCCAAGTGGCCAGCACTTCAAGAAGCTTTACAAACATTTAGTTTTATTTGGTGATACTGGAGTATTCAAAGCAGATCACAACTCAGCCCATTAACAAGGTCAAAAAGAGGGAATTACAGTTATTGTGCTTTATCTTAAATCTAGAGAGTTATTAAAGGATAAGGCTGGTCAAGTTCTATATTAGCAATATTTCAAACACTCCCCAAATACGGAAAATGACTGTCATTATCTTTTAATGAACCTTCCAATGACATACGATATGGGCAAATATCAGTTTTTAAATGAACATGGTCTTTTTGGTACTTTTCCTGTGGAACAGTTTAAATGTAATATATGAGAATAGTTAGGTGGTGATCATACAGCATGTTGTGCAGTAGTCTGTCATCCAGCACTCAGCAGTGCTCACATCTGAAGTTCTGTTACATGAAAAGAATAATACTGAAGAAGGCCAAATTCGTGGAGATAACAGATTTCTACTGGACACTACATTTAAGGTTTTATCTTGCCATTTTCTAAACACCACTAAACATCTGTGTGCCACTACATACAGTGCTTATTAAAAGTATTCACTCCCTTTGATGTTTTACCCTATTATTGATTTTATAAATCAGTCATGGCCAATATAATTTGGCTTTTTTGATAAAAAAAATACAAAAAACCTCTTTAATGTCAAAGTGAAAACAGGTTTCAAGTAATGTCAATTAAATAAATTATGTAATGGGAAATGAGTGATTTCATAAATATTCACCGCCTTGAAGTCAGTGTGTAGAAGATGCACCTTTGGCTACAATCACAGCGCTGCGTCTGTGGATAGGTCTCAATCAGGCTTGCACATCTGGACACTGCAATTTTACTCCATTCTTCTTTGCAAAAACTGCTCAACCTCTGCCAGGTTGTGCAGAGATAGGACGTGAACAGCCCTTTTCAAGTCCAGCCACAAATTCTATATTGGACTTGAGGTCTGGGCTTTGATTCGGCCACTCTCCCATAAAGCTTTGACTGGTGAAGAACCCGGGCAACAGTTGTTGTATGCAGAGTCTCTCCCATCTCAGCTGCTGATGCTTGTAACTCCTTCAGAGTATTCATAGGTGTCTTGGTGGCCTCTCTCACTAGTCTCCTTCTTGCACGGTCACTCAGCTTGTGAGAACAGCCTGATCTAGGTAGATTTAGACATGCGCTATATTCCTTCCATTTCTTGATGATGGATTTAACTGAACTCTGGGGGATGTTCAGTGCCTTGGAAATGTTTTTGTATCCATCCCCTGACTTATACTTTTCAATAACCTTTTCTCTGAGTTGCTTGGAGTGTTCTTCTGTCTTCATGGTGTAATGGTAGCCAGGAATACTGATTAACCAGTGACTGGACCTTCCAGACACAGGTGTCTTTATACTACAGTCACTCGAGACACATTCACTGCCCTCTGGTGATCCCCATTTCACTAGTTGTGAGACTACTAGCACCACTTGGCTGGACTTATGTTGAGTTAGGTCAGTCATTTTAAAGGGGGTGAATATTTATGTAATCACTTATTTCGCATTATGTAATTGACATTACGTTGTAGAAACCTGTTTTCACTTTCACATTAAAGAGAGGTTTTTTTTGTTTTGTTTTTTTGTTTGTCAAAAAGCCAAAATATATTGACCATGATTGATTTATAAAATAAATAAAAGGGTAAAACATCCAAGGGTGTAAATACCTTTTATAAGCACAGTGTGCTGGTAATAGCAGCAGGTAATGGTGATAGAAAAAATGTTGCAAATTTTGCAAATTTCAGTAGATGCTAGAGCAACACACTACACAGTGCTTATGGGATGCCTGAGCATATACACTATATTGCCAAAAGTATTCGCTCACCTGCCTTCACATGCACATGAACTTGAGTAACAACCGATTCTTAATCCATAGGGTTTAATATGATGTTGGCCCACCCTTTGCAGTTATAACAGCTTCAGCTCTTCTGGGAAGGCTGTCCATAAGGTTTAGGAGTGTGTTAATGGGAATTTTTGACCGTTCTTCCAGAAGCGCATTTGTGAGGTCAGACACTGATGTTGGATGAGAAGGCCTGGATCACAATCTCCGCTCTGATTCATCCCAAAGGTGTTCTATCGGGTTGAGGTCAGGACTCTGAGCAGGCCAGTCAAGTTCTTCCACACCAAACTCACTCATCCATGTCTTTATGGACCTTGCTTTGTGCACTGGTGCACAGTCATGTTAGAATAGGAAGGGGCCAAGCCCAGCTCCTGAAAAACACCCCCACATCATAATCCTTCCTCCACCAAACTTTACACTTGGCACAATGCAGTCAGACAAGTACCGTTCTGGCAACTGCCAAACCCAGACTCGTCCATGGGATTGCCAGACAGAGAAGCGTGATTCATCACTCCAGAGAACACGTCTCCACCTCTCTAGAGTCCAGTGGCAGCGTGCTTTACACCGCTGCATCCGATGCTTTGGTGATGTAAGGCTCGGATGCAGCTGCTCGACCATGGAACCCCATTCCATGAAACTCTCTACACACTGTTCTTGAGCTAATCTGAAGGCCACATGAAGTTTGGAGGTCTGTAGCTATTGACTCTGTGGTTGAGTGGCTGTCATTCCCAGTGGCTTCCACTTTGTTATAATACCACTGTGGAATATTTAGTAGCGAGGAAATTTCCCAACTGCACAGGTGGCATCCTATCACGTTACCATGCTGGAGTTCACTGAGCTCCTGAGAGCAACCCATTCTTTCACAGATGTTTGTAGACGTGGTCTGCATGCCTAGGTGTTTGATTATATACAGCTGTAACCATGGAAGTGGTTGGGACACCTGTGGTTTGCATGTTCTACCTGTGTCTGCGTGGGCTCTCTCCAGATCCTCCCACAGTCCAAAGACATGCAGCTTAGGTTGATTGGTGACTCTAAATTGCTCATAGGAGTGGTTGTGTATCTAGCCACAGGGGTTTCACATGAGTGACTTTTGTGCCAGTCCCAAGCCCGGATAAATACAGAGGGTTGTGTCAGGAAGGGCATCCAGTGTAAAACCATGCCAAATTACTCATGCGAATTGGATTCGCTGTGGCGACCCCTAACAGGAGCAGCCAGTAGTAGTAGTAGATTTTTGAACATTAATGTGAAATACTCAAATTGCTATTTTTCAGCAGTTGAAGTTAAATAAAGTGTTTGGTACATTTGTGTCTTATTTGATGTGGGTTTTATAATTGAACATTTTATAAACATTTTGTGTTGCCTGTGTTTACAACTCAGCAGTCAACACTACCAGCAAGGAGTACAGTGATGTATGTTATACTCTGCAAGGGGAGCCTCCACATTTTCAGCTCTGCCTCTGATGCAGCTAATTACTCCATTACTAATAAGAATGAAATATTTAACAGCTTTCCATATCAGCAGTTTCAAAATTGCTTTACAGTGGCCAAAGGCAACATATAAAAAGGAAGTAGTGTCCGTTGCAGGACCTGAGGAGGCCAAACCATCAAACTGGCATAGATCAGAGAAGATGTGACACCAGAGTATATATGCTGTTAATAAAATTACTATTGATCTCATGTCAGAGCATTTCCTCTTGTAAAAGAACACACTGCACATCATGTACATCTCTGTAACTGAGTACAATGTGCACGGAGCACACACTGCTAATGATACAAGATGTAATGGCAGATTGCCTTGTCCACTGTAATTAGGAAAACTGAGAGATGTTTGCTGTAAGAGGTGACAGGTGCATACACTGCAGGGCTAACCGCAATCGCTTAACCTTTACACACATTGACTAACTGAAAAATTAAGTCCTACAGATTTTATTTCAGGCTTTATTGAGAAAACGGTGGTCTTGGCAAGCTGATGTTACACAGCCACAAAATACTGTGTTTTTTATCCGTTCTCTCCAACCTTCACCAAGGTGCATATATCTAAAGTGAAACAAGATTACACAGTTTACAAGTTGTAAACTTTGCAATGTAATCATGTTCTGCAAATGTCTAAAACAACATTACAGCTTGGTTACATAGCTTTACATATGAATGGTGCTGTACAATGTGGATTACAATCCTTTAAAGCATACGTCTTAAAGAATAATGAACTAATTTGACAAACTATTTCCATTGCATGTGTGTACAATATGATCTAAAACACTGATCAGAGAAAACCGTGTATTTTCTCACCCACAGTAACCAGTGACTGCTGTTACCAGTCAATGCAAAACAAACTGAACATTAAAGCATTAGTGAAATATGGAGACACTGATAAATGAACAGTCTTTAATAATCTATTAATAATCACTTTTTACCAAATTCACACAGTTGTCATCTTTCTGGCTTTGACGTCAGTCCATGAATTCACCACCCAGCTTGCTTCAGCTGCAGTGGCTACTATAAGCCATTTTTCTTAAGCATGGGCCATATGCAAGTCAGTGTAACAAGATCACTGTTGATCCTCTGTTCCAAATCTTAAGCTCCCACAGGGAAGTGAGTGAAATTATACATACATTTGAAGTTATACATGTAATTATGTTATGAAACAGTCTCATTTTGACCTTTGAGAAATATTTAAAAGACTTTAAAATCAATTCAGTTCAGTCACAGACAAAACAAGGCCTGATGTGACCTGGTTTAAGTGTTGCTGAAACCAAGAGTACAACACATTGCTAAATGTAGATGACACCAGTAAAACAAAATACACTGTTTTAGGCCTTGATTATCTCAATTTCTTATTCTGTGCATTGGGATGAAATGCTGACTAATGCCATAAGTCAAATACTGCCACATACGAAACATGCAGCACAAAATGCACACATTTCAACTGAAGTCCCATCAAAAGCTTTTCCACATTGTCAAGCAAACAAGCAACCATTTCTGGTTCACATGGCAACATTCCCATGCACATGTACAGATTAGGGTGCTTGTGAAATTACACAACACAACCTAACTGCTGTCACTGTGACTTCATAACTAGAACCACGCCAGATGTAGCTGGATGATGACAGAGCAGATGAGAATAACAGAAAGAAAGCAGGCAGGAGAGAGAGCAAGAGAGCATATGAATAGAGAAAGACTGAAGCAGGGAGACAAAAGAGTGGGCAAATGAAGGCTGGTGGCTCACCTTCACTAACACACTTCATCCAGCACATCCTCCTGGTTAATAAATAGATTTTACAGAAAATGGAAAGGTAAAAATTGCAACCTGACTGCTGTCCATCTACCACAGAGTTACATTTTTTCCAGAAACACATCACCTCACAGCTCAAGTAGAAACTTGATCAGGCTCAAATGGCATCTTCAGGTGAGGGCGTGTACTCCTCTGGTGACTGGCTATGTGGTGGGGAAGGGAGGGACTGCTGAGAAGGAGAAGGACCCATGGAAGTAAGCGGGAATCCATCAGGTGGAGGGGGCCGCATGGGGGGTACATAGTGAGGGCAAGGAGCGGGTTGAAGAGGAGGTCCAAGGGGAGGGAAGCGAGAAGGGAACATTATTCCTCGGGGTGGAGGAGCCCACACTGGAGGGAAAAGAGGAGAGTTAAATTTATATTGCTGACATTTAGAGATACAATGGCAAAAGATGTGAAGATTGCTGTTACTGCTTACTAGGCATCATAGGAGGACCCCCAGGTCCCTTTGGTGGGTAGAAATCAGGAGGGGGTGGGCCACCCATCCATGAATGTGCTTCAGGGGGACTCCTTCGTTCACCGGGACCAGACTGATGAAAGAGATAAAGACTAATGTTACGGAGACTCTAGTGGCTGGGCAACAATAAATCCCATTCTAAAAGCCAGTTTCTTCTCTCTTAGAATTAGCTCAGTAGACATGCTGTCTGACCACAGAGCAATGATTTTAATACCTGGTCTCATCAACTGCACTGAACTCTGAATGAAAAGTCAGCTGTCACAGAGAGGCGGGAGATGTGATGTTGTTTAAAATGGGGATAAGGGTGCATCTTTTCAGAATGTCTCTCCAGGGAGACTTTTATAGTGTTGCACTTGATTGTTCACAAACAGCTATGAAACTATTAAAAAGACAGAGACTTGAAGAGTGAGGAACAATGCCTGGCTCCTCTCATCTCAGCACAGCTGACCAATCACAGCCTTATGTGGCTGTGAATGTCCAATTGTAAGTTCTAAACCATTACAGAAACAGTGGGACACAGACATCCTTGATCAGACATTAGAAAGGGATGTATGTGTGCTGGCGGTACATATATACACCCTACAGAGATTTAACTGAATGGTTTACTTTTAAGGGTTAAAAAAACAAAAAAAAAAAACCTAACATTTCTATTTACAAGACATAGTGTAACATCTAGCACAGGCAATTGCACTGTGGACTACTCTTGGGACTCTGACATGATGGAAAGATTGCCTTGTTGCCATGTACCAAACTCTCTAAGACAACAGAATGCCAGGAAATGCAACAAAGGCAGGGCAGTTAGAATTTTTTTTCTCCTTGCTCTCTCACATGCACATATTGGTCTTACTATGGTAGTGAGAACACTCATTGACATAATGTATTCCCTTGCCATAACCTAACATCACAACAAAGATTAAACCTGATTCTAACCTTACCAAACAGTCCTTCACAGTTGTGAGAACCAGCCAAAATGTCCTCACAGTGATGGTATCCAAGTAAAATTTGGCCACACAACCACAGAAAGACATGCACATGCACACACAGTTCTCCTACCTCACTATGTTCCAGTTCACCTGGTCCAAAGCTGTTTTCTCTATGCGCACCATCTGCATTGACAAAACATTTAGTAGTAGTCTTCATTGGACCTGCATTCACATACTTTATAAGTGAATATATTTGGGAGATACCCATCTGCAGTGCTAATGTTATAGATGGAAACATAATGAAGGGTGAGCTGCTGTACAGAACCCAGTGACTCACCTGTCATGTCTTTAGGGAGGGGAGCTCCTGGTGGAGCAGCAGAAGTGACACCCCTGGGATGAGGAAGACGTGGGCCGGGTGGGAGACAGCCAGGAGGAGGCAAAAGGCCCAGTGCTCCTGGAGGAGGTGGAGGTCTCCTGTACATAGGCCCTCCTGGTTCAGAGAACAGGTAGCCTATAAGAGAGAGAAAGAATACACTTCCATATGTGAAAATGTATCAATAATATATTAACAACTACTTCCAAAGCTGTAAATAAGTCAAACAACAAATGTCAAACATTAATAATTAGAGTCAAAGTAGTTACAAAGTAAAGTCTGAGTGTCTAAAGTTGGATGCATTTGTGCTTAAAAGAATGAGAAAAACTGAAATTCATTTTTCTTTAACGTTTAGGTGTAAAGACTGTGTAGCTTAAATTGTGTTTTCATGTAGACTGTCCATTTTACAATCATGTATGATCTGATACAAACACATCACAGAGCTTAATAGTCAACTGAAATTTCCAGTGTCAAAACTCAAAATGCATTCAACTCTATAGCACATACATGCACTGTCAACATGCAATCAGCATTCACATACACACTATAACACAAGTGTAACAAATAACCTTAACAATGGCTAGGATCTGGTTCTGTGCATGCTGATTCACCGCCATGGCAACAGGGCCATAATTAATGTTACAATCTACACCTGTGCACTGACTGATGCACGTCATAATTTCAGCTGTGAAAAAGGCTTTTTGGTTTGTTACAGTGGCTGCGTCCGAAACCGCCTACTACCATACTTATACCATGGTTGGATTTTGCAGTGTGCATACGATGGACACTTCACTATCCCATGATGCCCCGGGAGAGGAGTTATCCAACGAAGAAGACGCTGCTATGAAAACGTATGTCACATGATGTATCAACATGGCGGATGTAGTACGTCCGAATCTCATTCATACTACCAGGCTTCATACTATACAGTACCTACTGTTTTAACGGTCAGTAAGTAGGTACTTCATCTCTTTCAGTACGTACTGTCACAGTATGCGGTTTCGGACGCAGCCAATGTCCCTTAGAACATACAGGAAGTACTGGGTTACAGTCCAAGTTTTTTAAATGCATCAGTTAACATGATGAATAGTTTATGACCCAGCAGTAATCCAGTGGTGCAATGTGCACATATCTCCCCATGAGAGTGAGGACAAAAAAAAAACTTATGGTCCTTACTGTAGTCTCAAGGTTGATTCTCACTTTGATGTGCAAGGGCAGAAATTGTTTTCATCTTTGTAACCATAAGCCAGTGCAAGAGCAATTTTTAAAATTTAGGTCAGTGTGAATAAACTACAGTTTTTCCCTAAAACATAAATCATAAAAATAATAGTAGTTATTTAAATTGTATAATATGCACATGAAAATGCAGGTAAAATCACCTTTATGTTAAAACTTTTGAGCAGTTACCTTCTTAGTTCTGGGGCAAACAGAGGAAATAAACTTATTTCTGTTTGTTAAATATTATCTAAATCTCAATCCTCACTATGTTTAGGCTCTGCGGGCATCTATCAGAACTTTCTCATTCTGTGTCTTTCTCTCTCTTGCTTCCACACACACACACACACACACACACACACACACACCTGGAGGTCCTATGGGTCCAGGAGGGCCAGGGGGTTCTGGTGGGGGTCCCCTGCGATCTCTTTCCCATATAGGAGAGTTTGAGCCACTGTCTGAATGAGGACCACCACTCCGCTCCAAGTCACCTTGGCCACCTGGGGGCTCTGCTGGACCACAGAACACTGTGGAGGAAAGGACCAAGGAAAAGACAAAGGAGTTTTTCACCATGGACTTTCCAGCACACCAACAGCATGCCAGCATACAGACCATGCTTGGACAGATGTTTCACCATCTACAGTTCATCATGCCATCTATAGCCAGCTCATTGCCAACACACTGCTTGTGTTTGTTTGCAAGTCTACTGTATGTAAACTAAAGTGAAAGTTCTGTATTCCTAATCAGCTAAAGCTAGTGACACAGGAAATAAGGAGAGTGTTGGTTGTACCTAAAACAACATTCTATGTGGTCTTATTTGGTTTGATGTGCAGCTGCTGTATATTTGTGGAGTGTGGATCTTTGTGTGTATGCGTGTGTGCATACTTCTGGGAGACAATCTAGCAGGAGGCCCATCCATTAGTGTAGGAGGGGACAGGAAAGGTCTGGTTTCAGATGTTGGTCGACCCAGAGGAGAAGGACCGTATGGTGACCTTTCAGCTGGGTGCGAAGGAGAGTTTGGTGAGTGCAAACTCAAGGAAATGCGGCCCGCTCTTTCCAGGACAGGGTTCATCAGCCAACTGGATACACTGTTTAGCTCAGTAATGAACGTTTGGTGTGTGTGCTCTAACCTCGAAAAGGCAGTGGTCGAGCCAGACTCTTCAAGGCATAGGGATCTTTATCAAGGGCATCTAGTTTAAACTGTGTGTCTGTCAGCCTGTGAACACACCAAAGTCAACAGTATCACAGGTACTTTCTGGACCTGATTATGTAATGTTTTTGTACAACTATCTAACAAACACATTTAAAAAAAAAAAAAAAAAGACCTCAACTTCTCAAACATTTCTACTGAATTCATACAGTAAAGCTCTTAATTTCTGCTCACTTCTGTCGAAGGAGGGCATTCTCTCTCCTGATGTCTGCTAGTTCTCTCTCTGCTGCTCGGGCTGCCAGCTAGAAGATTAAGTCCAGATAAGTAACATAGCATGATGTAAGTGCATAGATCCAGTCAAGATCAGGTTGCTTAAATAATGTTAGGATACATTTTACTACAGCTCTCATGACATTGCAGAAGAAGAAATGATCACAAAATCCAGTTTGTGTCCCTAGATACAATGTCATATTATGTTTGTGTTTGCTGCAGTGACAGTCAGGAAATGTGGAAGCATACAGTTGACCAGCTGACATCTGTTAGGCTACAGAGAAGGGATAATATAAACACTGTTCTCTCACATGTTTTTGAAGTTTTACTAACCCAGTTATTGTGAGCCTTCTTCTCATGCGCTGATATTTGGGTTTGGTAAGAATGTTTGGTTTTATCCAGCTCCTCCTGCACCTCTTCTGCTCGTTGTCTGAAGAAACACAATGACTATGTATGTTTAGGGAAGGCTTACCAAACGCCATCATGATATTACATATTGCTAATATGTTTAGTAATAGTTTGCACAAGTAGCTACCTGTAATTGTTGAGTTCCTCCATGGCCAATGCAATGTTTTTGTCTGCTTTATGTAACTTCTCTTCTTTTTGCAGGCGTTCCTTCTCCTCGACTGTCAGCAGTCTACAAACACACACATCAGCATCCTCATTGGTTTTCTAAATTGTTCAGTTACTACAGCTACACTCAAACCTATTCAAAGATGTGTCAATACCTGTGCAACTTGAGCTCATTCTCCTGGTACATTTCTGTCATAATCTGGAGTTTCTGTTGTAACCGCTGGACCTGAATAAAATGATTCATTCAAATGTAAATTAACACAGGAGACCAATATAACAAAACATCATACTAATACACAGTCAAGGCCAACTACCTGATCTGTGTAGTGCTCAGCATCTGACTGCAGAGATAATTTCTCATTCTCCAGCTCCTTAATGCTCACTAAAGGGAAAACAGTGCACAGAGTGGCACAAAGATGCAAAGATTACATCAGTAATGTGTATGTTTGATAAGTTCTAGAAACTGTTGTTTATATGTCACAAAACATTATTGTGTCCAGTGTTACACTCTGTCTGGCTTTTTTGTTCTATATCAGTCCTGGTAAGACAGACATCAGTCTGTAGTTTACTCACTTTGCAGGTCTTCTTTAGCTTTAACTTCATCATTCAGTTTGGCAAATACTCTGTCCTTCTCCTCATCTACTGATTTCAGGTCTGCATTCAACTACATATGAAAACAAACAGAACATAACAGGAGGTGTCCAGTAAACTGCGTGATACATTTAATCTCACTGAGTGATGTTAGTTTCTGTCCAAGTCCAAGAATTTTTGTGAAGTACTACCGTTTACCTTGGCAGCATAAATGAGCTTCTGGACTTTCTGGAGTTGGCCTTGTGTGTCCATTATGTCTGTTCTTCCATTCTTATCTCCCTTTCCTGCTGTCCCACTGGACACCTCCTTCTCTCCTCCTTCCCCACCCTCCTCTTCCTCCAGGTCTGAATCCCAAGCCTTCATTCTCAGCAGGCGGTCTGTCAGGGACTGAAGGTGTACAAATATTTGGATTTGACCTAATATACTGCACAAGCTAATCATGTCAACCAACTACTTTTTACTCACTATACACATTTGATAACTTTAGCTACTAGTTACTTTTCAAACTGAGATTAATTAAACAAAATAAAGTATAATCATAAAATCTATTGATCCCTGGTGGAAAATTCACAAGCTACCCAGCAGTATGTAAAGTACTTCCAAATACAAGCATATAACACAGTTAACATTAGCTCTACCTTTACCAGCTGTAGCTTTAAATGTACACAATAATACATCAATAATTATAGCTCAATAATATGATATACATTAATGTAAACTGTGCCATTCTGCATGAGTACTTTTAGTTTTGGTACTTTACGTATATTTTATGCTAATACTTTTGTTCATTTATTAAAGTAACATTTTCAACACAGACCTTTACTTATAACAAAGTATTTTTACACCGTGGTATTACTACTTTTACTTAATTAAACAATTTGAGTAATTCTTCCACTACAGCTTCACAGAGTCACCAGATCTCAATCCCACTGAACACCTATGGGAGATTTTGGAGCGATGTGTTAGACAGCATCTCCTCCACCATCATCAAAACAACAAATGAGGGAGTATCTTTTGGAAGAACGGTGTTCATCCCTCCAGTAGAGTTCTGAGACTTGGAGAGTTAATGCCAAGGAGCACTGAAGCTGTTCTGGTGGCAGATGGTGGCCCAGCACATTACTGAGACACGTAATGCTGGTTTGTCCTTTCATTTGTCACCATCTATACAATAATTTGCTATAATATTCTGTAATGAACACTAGAACAAACCATTATACGCTCATCCTTATTGGCCACATCCTGCTGCATCCCACTGTGGGCAACTTCACACCTCCTCATGTCCGCCTCCAACTCACTCACTCTTTCTGCCCATCCCTCCACCTGTTGCCTCAACTGCAGAGAAGAGACAAGCAGGAAGATGAAATGATGATTGGGGGACGGCAAAGATACAAAATATGCCAAGAACAGATCATTTTTTCACAATTCTGTGCACATGGGTTCACAAATAAAACCATGAATCAAGTCCAGTATGTAGTAGTCTAGTAAAACATTTGTTTCAGTTATAGGTGCTTGGGTGGGTGTGTGTGCACAGAATCCTACCTGAGCATTGCTCTCCTGTAGCAGTGTGCTCTCTTCTCCGGCTGTTTCCAGATTCCTCTGTAGTCTATCGCTGTTCATTTTGTATACTTTCAGAGTAGTTTGTGCCTAAAGATAGTTAGGCAGACAGCAAAAATGTCACATGAAACACAGAGAGACATGGGAGATGGAAAAAAGAAGTGGCAGGATGGACAGAAAGCAGAAGAGGATAGGTAAGGAGGACTGCACCTGTTCTTCCTGTGACTGCAGGGCTTTGGTTTCTTCTTCGAATGTTTTCATGCTCTCCTCAAGCACTGTTATCTGTAGAGAGAACACAAAAATGTCACTGAGTTATTATTACACTGCAACATATTGTCCATTAGCACAGTTAACTAGACTTTCATAGTACTGTTGATAGTGATGCGGTTATTCTTACCCTCCTCTCTTGCTCCGTCCGATGTTTTCTTTGCCGATCCAGTTGATCCTTCAGCTCTTCTAGGTCCCTCTCCAGCTCAGTTTTATCATGTTCCAACTGCTTGGCTTTGACCTGGAGAACAAAAAACCAAGACATCTTCAGAAAACTTTAAATCTATATTTCATATTGCTACAGGATATTTTCAAGATTGTTTTTTAGCATTTCTTTATTTTCACCTCCAGATGTTCTGTCTTTTGAGTTTGGGCTAAGACACCACTGTCCCTCAGTGAGTCCTCCAGCTCATCATACTGCAGATGACATATAGAAATAAATATGATGTGAACAGGACTCATAACAGCCATGACAAAAATGCATTTCATACGAATATAAAACTATGTTCAAAGTTATCTGCAATTAATTGTAATGAGAGTTTCTGTTTTTTTATCACAGCTCAGATAATATGCATAAAACTGCATCTTTTATTTCAGATGCTTTATAATCCATATAAATCAACACATATTACACTAATCTGGCTATAGTTGAAAAGACCCATTGTTGTGTATGAGACAGACCACCTGTCTAACCAGCAGTCAGTCAGCATTGGCACCAGTACCAACCTCTTGTTGACATCTACTGAGCGTCTCAAGGACTTGACACTTATCATCCAGTAGCTGTGCAACCTGCTCAGCCATCCACTGCTCTTTATCTGAAAAACAGGGAACACAAAGCTTATAAAACACAAACATTTACATCAGGTTTTTTTTTTGTCCAATTGTCTAACCCTAACCCTTTTACCATGGTCCTAACTGTTATTTCCTAGAAATGCACTTATCGATGAGAAGGGATTGGAAATCCTGGTCAAATTTAGAAGCACGACAGCCCACATCACACACGCAGTGGCACAGACTGAAAGCATAGTGTGTACAGTGTGCAGAATTTTGTGTGCACCTTGAATGAGGCTCATGCTCAAGACTGCAACAGGCGTGTTTACTTGTGCATTGGAAACGCTTGTCGTACAAACAGCATACAGACAAGTCTATAGAAACACCTTGGAGAAGGGGAAACTATGTCCAAATCTCCAACAAACAGTAAACCAATGAGGGAATTAATGGCTAGACTTGAAATCCATGTGCAGTGCCTATAAAAAGTATTCACCCCCTTGCAATGTTTTACCCTTTTATTGGTTTTATAAAGCAGTCATGGTCAATTTAATTTGGCTTTTTTGACAAAAAAAAAATTACAAAAAAACCCTCTTTAATGTGAAAGTGAAAACAGGTTTCTACAACGTAATGACAATTAAATAAAAATATGTAATGTGAAATAAGGGACTGCATAAATATTTACCCCCTTTAAAATGACTGTGACTGACCTAACTCAACAGAGGTCCAGCCAACTGGTGCTAGTAGTCTCACAATTAGTGAAATGGGGATCACCAGAGTGCAGTGAATGTGTCTCAAGTGACTGCAGTATAAAGACACCTGTGTCTGGAATATTCAGTCACTTGTTAATCAGTATTCCTGGCTACCATTACACCATGAAGACAAAAGGACACTCCAAGCAACTCTGGTGATCCTCATTTCATGAAAGAGTAAAGAGTGAGAGAACAAGAGAAAATATTAAACTTTAATTGCAATGTTTTATTTTTATTAAAAGTTCATTTTTCATAAAAGTAACAAAAATGTCTGTGTATGCTGTCAAGTAAAGTTCTTAAAAAAGACAAGGCAAGGCAAAAAATCCAGTAGCTGTGCAACCTGCTCAGCCATCCACTGCTCTTTATCTGAAAAACAGGGAACACAAAGCTTATAAAACACAAACATTTACATCAGGTTTTTTTTTTGTCCAATTGTCTAACCCTAACCCTTTTACCATGGTCCTAACTGTTATTTCCTAGAAATGCACTTATCGATGAGAAGGGATTGGAAATCCTGGTCAAATTTAGAAGCACGACAGCCCACATCACACACGCAGTGGCACAGACTGAAAGCATAGTGTGTACAGTGTGCAGAATTTTGTGTGCACCTTGAATGAGGCTCATGCTCAAGACTGCAACAGGCGTGTTTACTTGTGCATTGGAAACGCTTGTCGTACAAACAGCATACAGACAAGTCTATAGAAACACCTTGGAGAAGGGGAAACTATGTCCAAATCTCCAACAAACAGTAAACCAATGAGGGAATTAATGGCTAGACTTGAAATCCATGTGCAGTGCCTATAAAAAGTATTCACCCCCTTGCAATGTTTTACCCTTTTATTGGTTTTATAAAGCAGTCATGGTCAATTTAATTTGGCTTTTTTGACAAAAAAAAAATTACAAAAAAACCCTCTTTAATGTGAAAGTGAAAACAGGTTTCTACAACGTAATGACAATTAAATAAAAATATGTAATGTGAAATAAGGGACTGCATAAATATTTACCCCCTTTAAAATGACTGTGACTGACCTAACTCAACAGAGGTCCAGCCAACTGGTGCTAGTAGTCTCACAATTAGTGAAATGGGGATCACCAGAGTGCAGTGAATGTGTCTCAAGTGACTGCAGTATAAAGACACCTGTGTCTGGAATATTCAGTCACTTGTTAATCAGTATTCCTGGCTACCATTACACCATGAAGACAAAAGGACACTCCAAGCAACTCTGGTGATCCTCATTTCATGAAAGAGTAAAGAGTGAGAGAACAAGAGAAAATATTAAACTTTAATTGCAATGTTTTATTTTTATTAAAAGTTCATTTTTCTATTAAAAATTCATTTTTCATAAAAGTAACAAAAATGTCTGTGTATGCTGTCAAGTAAAGTTCTTAAAAAAGACAAGGCAAGGCAAAAATCAAAATTGGCAGGTCAGACTTTAAAACAAAAAAAACAGAAATCGAAATTTGACAACAAAATTGCAGTTGATGGATCTCTATTAGAGATTTTACTTTTATTCTCTGTAAAACACTTTGTAAATCCTGTTTCAGAAATCTGCTCTTTAAATAATGTTTATTATATTATTAATCAAATAATTTTTCAGCTATTTCTAAAATATTTTTGCTTTATGGTGATGAGAGGGCCCTTAAACTGGCAGTGATTAGCAATGTGCTAGTTTTGAAAATATGACAATAAGAAATATGTAGTGAGGACTTACTTCGATACATTCTGCTTTTGACCTATAAGGAAATAAGAAGAAAACAATGAGGCTAAACAGTCATTGGACTGGTGGCTTGATATATGGGCTGATGTCAAACACCAAAGGAACAAGTGTGATATTTTTGTGTCTCTGTTTGAACCAAGCAACCTACTACAAACTCAAATACTGTGAATTTATGAAAATGTTGTGATGCTGATGTTATACTCACAGAGCTGTAACATCTACAGGTGAACAACAGCACAGTCACTAACCCCACCAGACTGGATATGATGACTGGTTCCCATGGCAACCCATATAGGTCTGGCCCAGGTCTGAAGTCATCAGGCAGCGCTGAGACCACCTGGAGGGAAAAGGAGGTCACAGTCTTTAAAATGAGTTGTGTGATCCCTTATTAGCCAATAAACTTAGGGCAGAACAAAACTTAGTTCACTTCTTTTTAAATAAGTGGACTGTAGCGCACTGGACTCATGGAGAAGATCGGCATCTTAGTACTTCATATTACACTACAATTTCTACTCAGTATATATATATATATATACATATATATATATAATGAAATCTCTTTTTCAGTAATTGTTTTAATATTTAGGACTGAATTTATCCAGCTTCACCTGGCTCTCAAAACATGTGTTTTTGTCATTAAGCACAACAGTTTTAAACTCCAGCTGCTTCATTAAGGTAGTATGTTTTTTAAATTTTTATATAGGCAAATAGTTTTATTCCCTTTTCCAGTAATTATAACAAGTGACTGCCAAATGTAGACTGTTAATACACCAGCCAAGTAGTTACAGCTTTGATTGTTTACTACACATTAAGATCTGTAATGCACCCTAGTAAATACTAGTAGCACACAGATGTGCTGCAGGAGAAACCAACAGCTGCCATCTTTTAGCGAAAGAAAAATTAGAAATAGCATAAAAACAGCACAAAACTTGATAAGCAATTGACGTTACTAACTAGCTGAGTGTTACCAGCTAACCATGTCAACCATTACAAACACAATAAATCTCAAAATAGTCTATCAGCATTGGTATGACACATGCAGTCCAAACTGGCGGGTACAAAACAGAACACGCCGTTTGGAATAATGTGACAGTCCGTTACGTTGTTTGAGCTGTGAATGCTAGTTAGGAAATGCTAACGAAACCTGCCACATAACATACATCCTTCACTTTCTCCACAGCGATACTGTAGTAAGCTTCCGCCGTCGAATGGAAGTCGACCCCTTTCCTGGCCAACTGGTCAGTTACCGGATGTTCCGTCATGTCCGAATTATTTCATTTGGTTGATATTTTAGTTACAATTTCTGTTATATCGACATTAGAAGCAGAAACTCGTCGTCAACCTGCCTAGCGGCGATTTCACATCCTACAATGACGCTCAGAGCCAGCCGCGCTGAACTCCCCCGTTTGGGGGGGGGGGGGGATGTTGATATCTCCCCGCAAATCCCTGGTAACGACCCTAATTGTTTATAGCTACTTCAGAACGCGCTAAAACGCACATATGATGTTTATAAAAAAAAATAGAAACAACTCATATACATTGCTTTTGCAATGTAAGTTTGTGTAAATGGTATTGCACCCCCGCTGATGTTAATGGTTCATTCGCAACGTCACCAATTGCACGAAGCCACACTGCCACATCGGGAGTGTTTTCAAAGTGACACGAAGTGAAACAGGTGTTACTAAACTACACAGCCTAAAGTATTCTTAATTTCGTTTTTGATGATTTTCTGAGTGTGCTAACTAATGTAATTTTCTCAGACTTAACACATAGTTATGGATTTACGCAAAAGTCTTTATTTTCGAGAAGAGTGTGCCCATGTTTCACCTTTGATGTACAGCTACACAGGCTAATAGGCTAACAAGCTGGTCTGTGTAGGACAGGTGAATTCTCATTCTGAGCAGTAACATTGCAATCAAAGGTTATATACTCACCGAACTGGCCTCATTTTCGTCCATTTGACACTCGAGAATAGCTAACCCTCTATAATAATTTAAAACAATTTGCCTTTACAGCAGTGATGATCGCCGGCTGGCTCAGCCTGTGTAATGGACCCACCAACACTGGTGAATGTGAGTGATGTTGACAGAGCCAAGACAAATGCCAAATTGACACTTGAGACGTTAAGCTGAATGCCAGAGGGTGAGGCAGGTCAACATATCACAAATACAGTGTCTTAAAGAACTAGGCCTTGCAGTTTGTATACATAGCCTAGATAAAAGAACAGGAGCTCTCAAGAACAGTAGGCTATAGCTCAGTCAGCTGTTGTCCAGGGGAGCCAGTGTTGCTCATATAAAGTGATCTGTTAAGAGCATTTCCATTTATACCTCAGAGCCTAGGTTTCCTGAAAAAACGTTAAAACGAGGTCAGGCTGGACCCATCTTAGATTTTACCAAATGTAAATAGGCCTGATCAGAATCAACCCGATTATGCTCAGTCTTTGCAATATAGAACAGGTAATGAGCATGATACAAACATTATCATTTCATCCCTCATATATAT